TAAATTAGTATATGCATCGCTATGCTATTACACAATTTCATGACATCTAGTAACTTGTATCACATCTATTAAATAGTATCAAGCAGGCTGAGTACCTGTCTAAGCATTGATGTATCATATATCATTTATTTATTTATTCTTTCAAAGGACGCAAAGGATTTGGCTTCTTGTGGTGGAGATAGTTATAGTACACCAAGGAAAACAAGTAGCACGCCGATCCGTGTAAGTATTATTCAATGTTCAGTGTAGAAGTACCAAAATTTAGCTCACAAATGATAATGGGTGGAAACTCTAGGTTTTAATGGGTGGCGATTTAGGCAAAAAAAACAAAATGGCCAATGCCATAAGCAAAAGCTCTGACAACTTTTTTTATGTGTTTGTGTGGCTATATAAATCAAGTAATCATTCACCCTTTTATGATTTTTTTTCTTGGAATCAAACTTGCTGCTACAGATCAGGCTATTCTCCTAGACATGTATTGCCCTTTTTAGGAGTTTTCCCTTATTTGTGGGATTCACAGGCTATTGTATTCGTTACGAGAATGTTGTGTGGCAACCTGAAGGCTGCAGGATACAAATGTTTCCAACTATTAATTTTTTAGAAGGTAATTGTTGGGGGTTGATTTCAACCTGGATTAGGATGTTAATCCATTACGACATACAGGTTGTGTAAGACTCTTTGCGACCTATTGAACTTATGAATGGGAAAGGAAGGTGATTTGGCTTCTGTAGCAAATCTGTCAACTATGAATCTACATCCGGCAATTGTGAGTATCTGTTCGCTCTGTGGTTTGTTGGTGTCCAGTGCACATGTTAATGGTGACTCTTGCGGGGCAAAAAAATTAGATGCATTTATGATCGACGGGTATGCAGCCAAATCAGAACTAGTGGCTCCTATCATGTGACGAATGCGTTTGGAAAGAACTTCAGGAAGGAGCTATGTACAAGTGTACAAATGAGTTTTGCTCAGGCAGAAAGCAAAATCGAAGAAGGTATGCACCAGGGTTTTTAGATTGATATTCTGTAATCATAAATATCATGTTGTTCCATTAGAACTGCAGACCTTTTTCTGAAAGGATGTCATGTTGTGAACAACAACCTTTTGTATCTACGACAAAATTTTGCCATCTACACTTACTTGCAACAGATGGATAATTTTCTCTCAATTTCCTCGCAGTGGATCTTCTTTTTCTTTCATTGTGCAGCACCAGCAACTTTCGGTGTAACTACCACTGTCAGTTTCCTCGATCACTTTCCTAGCAGCCACCACGGACATGACCAAGCTGTTACGAAGAAGATGAAAAACCTGGGCCTAGGCGGCGAGGGGGAGCTCGTGAAGCCAATGGGACCTGAGAGCATCTGTAAGACCAGGTTATGTGTGAGCTTTGTCGCCGGCAGGTCGTGCGCCTTCGGCGGCAGATGCCCCTTGGCCCATGAGAAAGTTGAATTGTGCAATCCTGCTGCATCTCGAGAAGTCGAAGATCAAGTGATTCTCATGGTGTTCATGATGGTCGTGCATCTTTTATTTTGCAGAAATGCCTAAACAAAAACTTCTCTTGTCTATTCTTGTTGTAATAGGTGTGTTGATGAAGATCAACTTTTCTTGTCTATTCTTATCCATTTCTTCTTCCGTTCAATCAATTCATGATAGGCAAGACATCAAAAATGGAGTGAACAGAAACTCAGTATCAATGAAGGCATGGTAGACGCCATTGTCCAAGATATTAATATTAGAGCATCAATGTTTTTATCTTGGAAGTTCAAGCCTGTAAGTCGCTGGACTAATGAGGCAGCCCATGTTTTTGGCAAAATCTGTTGAGAAGTCAGAAGATCTGTGTACCTGATGTTGTCAGGACACTGTTTGTAACGATGAGATTATGAATGAAATGAAAGGGTGCCCTAGGTTTATTTCTGTCATCATGTATACTAGTAGTTAGGCACGTAACAATGTGAGTTTTTTAGTTTATCCTAAGAAACAATTCTTTAAATATAGTAGGAGCAAAATTTAACAATGTAATAACATAATGAAGGTGAGTTGTACAAGGAAAACTATTCTTTACAAATTGATGCTAAGGAAAAAAAGCGTCCAAGCTGGCTCAAAGAATCACAAACTTCTTTCTTTATGTAAAGGGACAGTTAATCTATATGCAGAAAAAACATTGTCGGCATACAAAAAATAGTTGAATACCAACCACCAATTCTCGTTTGAGGGAAGAAAATAGAAATTGTTGTACATTGCTCGCACTCAAACGTAGGTAATTTATTCTTGGACATAAGGCTTCTTTGAGGAGAACATAAGGCTTCACTGAGGGAACATGCAGAACCTCTCGTCAGAAGAAAAAAATGAACAGAGGAACCAATAGAAGCTAACCCTTGTAAAAAAATAGTGTCATTAGGAAGATGCCAATCAGGACCAAAATAGGCAAAATGCTGCTCACTTGTAAGTGCCCAGAAATCTCTAAAAGTAGTACGAATGCATGAGATCTTATGCATCTTCATTAGTCACAGCACATATCATCAAGTGGTAGATGCCATTGCATGACTTAGAAGAACCATAGCACACTGAAACTAGCATCTGCACGGTAAGCAAAATATATTAAAAAACTGAACCAATGGAGGCCCGTTTGCTTTCTGCAATCGGCTACTACCATGATATATACTCCCTCCGTTCCTAAATATAAGTCTTTTTTGAGGTTTCAAATATACTACAACATACGGATGTATACAGATATATTTTACAGTGTAAATCCACTCATTTTGCTCCGTATGTTGTCCCTTGTTGAAATCTCTAAAAAGATTATATTTGGGAACGGAGGGAGTAGAAGTTAAAGAATACAAACTGCGGAATATACGCGCAAAATACCATGAATTTGTGCAAGGCAATGGAGACGGGAGATATGGCTTTGAACATCAAAATATATGTAGCAGACATATCCTTAAGCTTCTGTACGAGCTTTGTTAAGAAATTTTGATAACCAATCTAGATTGTCTGAGCAGAAGTATTGATCTCAGATTGTCGGTTGTTCACGTTTAGCGCGGGTATCTGGAGAGACTGACACAGTGCACAAACAACTCTCTAATTTAATTATAAACACCGATTTTCAATTTCAGTTGGTCTCAGCTAGTGATAAACGAACGTACAGCTGGAGATCACTCGCACTCACCAAAGATGCCGATTAATTGTCCCCATGGAGCCTGGCCTCCAGGAAGCACGACGCCGATCTTGAGCGGCTTCGTCACGACCGGCTCGGCCGACGGCAGCACGGCCGCGGACGGCAGGTCGTACAGGCTGGAGAACAGCTTGACTATCTCATCTGCGAGATCGAATCACGACCATCAAATCCCAAATTCAAACCCACCCAGCCCGCGATCTGTCAGGCCAAGATCCGGGAGGGACGCGACCCAGGAAAGATGGCATTCATCACTCACCGGGGCTTCCAGGGGGCGGTGCTAGCTGGCTCGTCGGCGAGGGTGAAGTAGGAGCAGAGGACGGAGGACGGAGGGGAAGGGCAGCGTGTGCGCGATGCGGCTCACCTCGTTGTAGATGTATGCAAGGCGCCCGGGCACGGGCGCATTGGGTGCTGAGCCCCCGTTGGAGGCCGCCGCCGTCGCCGCCGCCATGCGATGCGATGCGCCGGTGGGGGGCTCCAGGCGGCGAGCGAGGCGAGGGTTCTTTTTTTTTTACTGGCGTGAGAATTTTCCTCGCTGAACAAGTACGACGCAGATGGCAGAGTTTTCGTCCGCCTCATTAAATTGCTAAACGTACTTTTAGTGGGCTCTGTCGTTAATCTTAACGGTTAGATACAATTGAGTGGATCTGATTCTGAGGCTCTAATTGTTTGGTGCTTTTCTGTGTACGTTAGACAAGACACGCTTAGGAAAGAAAATGTTCTCTTCTAGTGTTAAAAACGTTCTTATATTTTGGAACAGAGGGAGTAGTAGTATAGAAGTATAGATAACTGGCTAATTGATGTGAGTGTCATCCTACATTGAGAATACACCGCGTGCACATGCTGATATGTTTGATTCTGTTCCTGGTACATGTCTGTTTTCTGCTATGTAGTCTTGGGCAATTTTTGCAAGAATATGCTGCTTCCTTGGGGTAAGATGCAAATGTTCCAAGGGGGGGCATGTAAATATGCTAGCAACTTGATCTTGTCCCTTCTTCTCACATCCAACGCACCACATGTTTTGGTAGCAGCGTATCACCCTATGCATGGTAGCACTAGATATTTTCCCATGTCATCTATTTGGTCTTGATGAAAAATGGTATGCTGGCCAGAGATGTTTTACAAAAGATAGGTGGCACCTGTGACTCTAACAGCCTTTTTTTGTGATGTATGGATTGATGAATCCATTTACCACTTAATTTTTACTGTCCTCTTGCTGGGTATATTTGGAACATTGTTATAGCTGTTCTTTAGGAATTGTCTGTCAACTCCCTGATGCTAATTCTTCCTCCTATCATACAAAGATCATATTTACATGTCACTATCTCTCAATGTATTTCTCGTGGGCATGCTGAATTAACTAGCCTCTCTTGCATGTTAAACAATGCGCACTTCCATTCACTGAAAACTGTCTTGTTGCTACACTCACAGAAATGGCCGCATTGTATGGAGCAGCAAGCCAGCAACACATAGCATTGGATCACGGTTACCAAAACACTAGCTGCAACAACACGTCCTAATTGCAACCAAAAGGCAGCATTAGTTACCAATCACATACTACTACGGTTCCAACTAATTCTTACTACATAGCATTGGATCACGGTTACCAAAACACTAGCTGCGGCAACACATCCTAATTGCAACCAAAAGGCAGCATCACTTACCAACCACATACTACTACGGTTCCAACTAATTCTTACTCCCTCCGTCCCAAAATACTTGTCGAAGAAATTGATAAAAATGGATGTATCTAGAACTAAAATATGTCTAGATACATCCATTTCTCCGACGAGTATTTCCGGACGGAGGGAGTACTAAACTAAGTTCAGAATCACATCTTGTTAATTCGAATCTCAAGAGACAACTCCTTGGATGCCCCAGCCCCAAACACATGCGCAGGCGGCACAACCAAGAAGAATGGCAGCTTCTCCACGGCAACATCGCAGGGCTTGGAGCTGCTCGTCACCGCCGGCGTGTCCACCATACATCTGCCGCCTGCAACGTCCGGCGGACCATATGCCCACATCATGGCTGGGTACTGCAGCAGCGCTGACGTGCTGGCCCTGATGCACACCACTGACACAGCAGTGATCGCATTGAGCAAGCCCACAACAAGAAGGAACACGCTGCCGTCCTCCGCGAGGAGCAGACGCCGCGGTTCTGACACCGGAACCTGAAGCCAGAGAACCTTGCCGTACTCAATCTTGTGCACAGGCCAGGAATGCAGGGTGGCAAGGTGGCCGAGGAGCGCCGGTGGCGGGCCGGTGAAGCTGCAGCCGGGCTCCGTGCAGAAGCAGGGTGTGTGTGGGCACGCACTATGGTGATCGTCATGCTCATGGTAGGTGACGTAGCTCTGGCAGCCACCGTGGGAGCACTTTATCGTTGCCAACGAGACGATGTCGTCCATTAAAAGGCAGGGAACAAAGCCTCCGCCGCCATGCTTGCACATCGGGCACTGTCCGCCAGGGAGCTCGGTAAGGCATGTGACACAAACTGAATGCCTGCCATTGCACTGCACAAATTCAAGATCATAGCAAGAGGTTAGTATTAATGCTGCCTTTCTCAGGTGAATGGAACAAACAATTGGTCTAGTATTTGCCTGGAAGACAGGAGGCTTTAAGGGGCGGAAGCAGAGGCGGCAGTCAAGAAAACTTGTTTCCACTCCGGCCTTCCGAACGCCTTTCTCCATCGTCAACAGAGAACCCATGTTTCTTACCATGGAGGTGCCCGGAGCAACTTGCGTCCCCTCCGTAGTCTGCAAAAAAATCATGGAGTACAACACATAACATGCATGCCATGCCGTGTGGAATTAGCACCCACTATGACTATGCACAGAAAATTCTTCTGCGAACTCTTAGAACGCTGTGACAAAAGTGAATAGCATCTACATACTTGGGCAGCCTCAGGTTCGGAGGAAGGCCCGTTGGACCGCATCTGCTGACTATCTCTTGGAGATTTTCTGCGTTCTTCCTCCAGGGAGAGATAATCTGTTCTGACAGCATTGGCGGTCATAAACACGCTCCCCTGCCTGGTGTGAATGTCTCCGTGAGCTGCAGTTAGAGTTTTATCTGTGATGTAAAATCAACATGAAAAGAAAAATATAAAGTTCTACAAACACAACAATTCAAATCCATGTGCAAATTCATGAGATATGTAGTTTGCTTGAACATCCAGTTCCATGAAATTCTAACACCTTCATATAATCGGGCAAGAGTAGTACCTCCACATGAACCATCATGAACTGAAGCAGAGTTGTGCAGATCATCTCTGCTGCTGTCAACAGTACGCAGCAGGGAAGGTGGTTGAGCTACAGAAAAGATGGGTTAATGCAAATGATATCAAACTAGCATAAAAAGAAGAGAATGTGAATATAAAATAACCTTGATTCTTGTCAGGTAGGATTGTAGCATTGGTCTTGTGCCTAACATCAAGATTTGTTTCCTCCATCATCTCATCTTGAAAAAATAATAGGTAATGCAAAATGAGTCGTTAAAAAGTATGAAAACACAAAAAATAGTAATGAAATGGTGGACCATACAGATGAACAGATCTCATCACAACATGGACATCTAGATCCATCAAATTCAGAACCTTGGTATAACTGGGGCAAGGGCACTACCTCCTGTTTCTAATGTCTCAGTTTGGGAGGGTTGTCCGGACGGAGATAAATGATCAAATTTTGCAGGCACCTCCTTACTAACATTGGGGTCACCAGATGATCCATCATGAACTGAAGCACGATTGTCACTACAATTTGTGGGAACTCGAACAGTAGGCGGCGGGGAAGTTGGACAGGCTGTAAATAAGAGCTGAGATTGGGAATCCTCGAAATAGCAGGTACCCTCCTTGGGCCTAAGCTGTTAAAAAGTAACATAGTGGTGTCACTTAAAATTTGAGACTACAGTAAAGAATGTATCAATGATGTATGGTCAGAACAGTAGCACTCACCGCAAGTTTACCATATGTTTCAAGGCCATTAGCTATCTGTGTATCCTCATGCAAGATATTCGCTATAATACCATTGGTGAAGTGTGCGATACGTGGGATTTCAATTGCATCAAGCCGATTCATACTTAATAGGTTGTCCAAATAAAAAATCTGCAAAAAGTAACAACATAGTATATCAAATGCAGACCACATCCTTTGATTAAAAGAGAAAAGAAGAACAAGAACAAAGTAACCAAACAGGGAATGACTTACAATACAAAAGAGGGTGCAACTAGTGAGGGACAGGGTTGGTTCATTCGATTTCTTGGGATTAGCCAATCTCGTGGAATAAGCCAATCTCGTGGAATAAGCCAATCTCTTGGACTTCCAGGAAATTACAGCTTGGCTAATGTCGTGAACAAGGACCTTGCACCAATCAATATTTGGAAGATTGTGTAAGTCAGAAGTCCAAGCCGCATCCCTCCCTGTGATATATGTAGCCGTAGTGGGGAATAAGAGACGATTGAACACAATTATAATGAAGCATCTTATCGTCAAGTCGTCATCGCCCCCGAGGCGTATGCGTTGGTACAAGACTTCAACAGTAATGTTTTCGTCCTTAGGGACACCAAGTAGTTTCTTGAGCTCCCGAAGTTGCTCTATTTTTATTGCACGGGATAAAGGAGGTGGATCTATGCCGCCATTGGGTAAGCCAAGGACACAATGCACAGCATGGGGTGTAATCTTAAGACCACCCTGCGTGCCAACATTGATCACAAGGGATTCACTTGTATTGTCCATTAGAAACACAGGCAGGTTCCTTGTCCGGAGCGCATCAACAGTCAAACTGAGCACCCACCCAAAACCTAACTTCTTGATCCTTTTCCTCTGGCAATCTTTTAGAATTTCAATAGCTGATTTAATAAACTCTGGAGCACACCATATGGTGGGACGACACTTCTTCTTCTTCTTCTCGTCACTTTTTGTGGGGATGGTGGGAGAGTTGTTGGAGACTTTCTTACCCTGCATATAAAAACATAATAGGTAGAGGCAGCAAACTATTAGACTTAGAATGGCAATAGCAATCCAATTTCCCAAATAAAACGGTGCTAATTGGTAGTTTGGTACCTAGGTGTGACCCAAAAGGAGACATGAATTGGCAGCAGCATGTAAATAACAAGTACTAGCAACACATGGAGATTCGGCAAGGATGAGACAAGGTAAATCACCTTGACAGCCTTCGATTGATGGGTCTTCTTACGCTTGAATCGCCGTGGGGGAGTGAAATCATCTTCCTCGTCGCTGCTGGAAATGAGTTCCGGGGAAGTGGAATGCGTCTTCCTCTTGCGCACTGAAGGTTCCGTATTGGAAGAACCAGCCGACTCCATACCTTCGTTTCAGATCGGGATTTCGAGCGATTCGCCCAAACGCGCCCCGGGTGGCGGCGCCCTTGTCCGAAGCCGCGGCTCCCAACCCCTCGCGGGCGGGGCGGCCCGTCGATCTGGATAGGACGCGCAGTGCCGCCTCCGCCGCGCGGCCGGACCGTTCGATCCGACTACGGCGCGCGGCCTCCTCCTCCGCGATCTCCCTCCGGCGTGGGTGGATTGGAGTTGGTACTAGTGCGTGTGCGGGAGCGAGTGGATAGAGCTGGAGCTGGATGTGGATGGGAAGAGACGCGAGAGCACGGGAGGAGGCAGCACGAGCTCAATGACAGATTGACAGGGTGAGTAAAATGTGTTTATTTCTAGTAGGTACCGTCACCCACCACTCGTGCTGTGCTACTGCTGTCTTCTTTTTTCACACCGCTTTTTATTTATAAAGCCACGATCTTGCCAGTCGAAATAAGATACCATCAGTTTGATGGAGGAGGGGTCAAATAAACGATGCCTCCAGGGAGGAGACCGCCATCCACGGACGTCGACGGCGGCAAACTGACAAGGTCAAGCACGGCACTTTAAAATAGTATGGACTATATACGAACAAAATGGATGAATTTACACCTTAAAATATGTCTATATACATTTGTATGTAGTCCGCATGAAATCTCTAAAATGACTTGTATTTGGAAACGGAGAGCATACTGAGCTAGTTTAAATACTCCATTTGAAATACATTGCGTAATTGGTTTTGTTCTTAGTCCAACTTTGGAAGCTTACGAAATTTAATATCAACATCTACAGTACACAAAAATACAATGTGTAATTATTTTTCAAGATGGATCCTATAAACTAATTATTGTGAACATTAGTACTTTTTCCTACAAATTTAACCAAACCTCCTAATTTAACTTGGGACGGCAAATTTTAGAAAGAAAGCATATTTATGTATTTTGAAAGGAAAGTACTCCCTTGGTTTCATAATGTGATGCATATAGGGAGGTGCTTGTTTCATCATTTTTCATCTGTCATCTGTTTACAACATAAACAAAAATCTTACGGGCGTTTGGTTGTGTCTGTCCGTAATCGAGTGCCTCTGTATCCATCCTAGCTAACGGTAGATACCCACAGGTATACCTTGCCATGGGCAGCCCGGCCCGGACGGCCCGACCCGAAAATCCCGGGCTGAGCTGAGCCCGAGCGTGTCATCGGGTCGGGCTCGGGCCAAAAAATCAAGCCAGGCGTGCAGGTCAGATCGGGCTTGGCCCTGCACAAAACAAGATTTTAGTTGTAGTCAGGCCGGGTCGACCGGGCCGTGTCGGGCTTTTTCGGGCTTGGGCCCAATTTAGTAGGCCCGACGGTTGGGCTGGGCCAGGCTCTTCTTTTCAGGGTTTTTTTTTAACCCGGCCCGATGTTGGAAATATGCCCTAGAGGCAATAATAAAATGGTTATTATTATATTTTCCTTGTTCATGATAATTGTCTATTGTTCATGCTATAATTGTATTAACCGGAAACCGTAATACATGTGTGAATACATAGACCACAACATGTCCCTAGTGAGCCTCTAGTTGACTAGCTCGTTGATCAATAGATGGTTATGGTTTCCTGACCATGGACATTGGATGTCATTGATAGCGGGATCACATCATTAAGAGAATGATGTGATGGACAAGACCCAATCCTAAGCATAGCACAAGATGTTGGGGAACGTTGCAGAAAATTAAAATTTTTCCTACGGTTTCACCAAGATCCATCTATGAGTTCATCTAAGCAACGAGTCAAGGGAGAGAGTTTGCATATACATACCACTTGTAGATCGCGTGCGGAAGCTTGCAAGGTGATGATGTAGTCGTACTCGACGTGATTCGAATCACCGATGACCAAGTGCTGAACGGACAGCACATCCGCGTTCAACACACGTACGGGACGGGAGACGTCTCCTCCTTCTTGATCCAGCAAGGGGAAAGGAGAGGTTGAGGAAGACAGCTCCACCGGCAGCACGACGGCGTGGTGATGATAAAGAGGCAGTACTCCGACAGGGCTTCGCCAAGCACACAACGGAGGAGGAGAGGTGTTGGGGAGGGGAGGGCTGCGCCTTGGAGAGTGGTGCGGCTGCCCTCCCCTCACCCCTCTATTTATAGGGGGA